CCAGCCGAGCTACGAGGCGGCACGCAGAGCTTCGAGGACGTCCAGCTGAGGCACAATAGCTACCAGCCGAACAACGGGAGCCACCCGTACCAGCTTCTCTGCCAGTTGGTTGGCAAGGCTACCTCTACCAGCAGGGGCGACGCTACTACCACCACGCGGCCCTGGACATGACGACGTGAAGGGTGCTGTACACCAGGCCCGCCGAACACACACTTTTCGTAGCTGTTTGAAGAAGCCGCCGCACCACGGAGGCATGGAGGAGGAACGCGCCGAGGAGCGACTACGAGGAGGGTGGCGACGGGCAGGACGATCTCGAAGAGAGCGGCGAGCAAAGCAAGGTCCGAGCAGAGCTATAAGGGCCAGCGGACTTGCTGAAGTCGCCAGCAGAGCCACAAGGGCCACCAGCTGAGCCACGAGGGCCTCGAGCTGAACTACATGGGCCACAGGCAGACCGTCCGGAGCAACCTGCTGATCTTCGGAGGCGAGCTGGCGAGCTACGAGCACCAAGACCTGAGCAACTATGATAACAGGCAGAGCTTCGAGGGCCACCAGCTGAGGCACAGAGGCCACCAGAACTACGAGGACAACCTGCTGCGATTCGAGGGCCACCAGCAGAGCCACAAGGACACCCAGCAGAGCTGCCAGGCCACCAGCAGAGCATTGAGAGCTACCAGCAACTAGAGGTACGAGGGCCACCTGCCAAGCTGAGATGACTAAGATACGAACTACACGGACACCGAGCGGAGCTTCGAGGGCCACCAGCTGAGCCACTCGGGCCCGCAGGGCTGCGAGAATCACCCTGCCCCTCGAGGACTGCCAGAAGAGCTTCCAGGGCCACCAGCAGAGCTTCAAGGGCCACCAGCTGAATTACAAGCGCCACCCGCCGATTCGCAAGAACGGCCACCAGAGCTACCAGGGTCACCTGCTGAGCTACGAGGACCAACAGCGGAGCTACGAGGGTCACGAGCCGAGCTACTTGGGAATCAGCTGAAGTACGAGGGCAGGTCGTTCAGCTACGAGGGCTACCTCGATCATGAGTTGAGCCACCAGGGACAGCCGCTGGGCCAAGAGAGCCACCGCGGAAGCTACGACAACCACCTGCAGGTCTACCAGTAACACCAGCTGAATTACGAGGGCTACAAGCTGAGCTATTTCCGCCCTCAGCTGTATTACGCGGGCATGCGCGGAACTGCGAGGGATACCAGTAGAGCTCCGAGGGCCACCTGAGTTACGACGGCAAGCGCCTTAGCGACAACGGCCACCAGAATAGCGAATAGCTTCTACTACGCGATTCACTCAAGATGCAGCCACCTACCTGGACAAATGGGACAGTGACGTCCAGTTGCGGATCCGTACAGCCAATGCCGTCAAACCGACGGGCCGCATTTCTTACGACGAGAACACCATTGCGCACCGCCGTATGAGAGGCTTGCAGTTCGCGACGTTTCGGGAGACAGAGAGAGAGAGAGAGAGACAGAGAGACAGAGGGAGCGAGAGAGCGAGAGAGAGGAGGGGGAGGAATAGAAGGAGGAACGCCAGCAGAAGAACGCTCTCCTCGCAGCGTTTCCCCGTGGTCCTCCGCACGGGCGGCCACCTTGAAGAGCGCTGCCCTGGGCCGCCGCGCCCCCGCGCTAAAGCCGCAGTACCTCCGCGCCGCGCGCCAGGGCGCGCGCCAACGGCAGCGCTCGCGCGAGTCCTTCGTTTTCGCACGCTGCTCGTGGCCCGCGCCAGGCCGCATGAGGCCTCCGCGCCGCTGCTGTCACGCGTTTCGGCAGCGCGCGGCACGAGGAAACCCCGCTGCATGCCAGCCCCAACTTGGAGTGAGCGACGCAAGAAGTCGGGGTCGTCAGCGCCGGCGTTCGCGCGCAAGCTGCCCGCGTAGGGTCGCGCGTAAACGCTCCCTCGCTTCCACTGTGCCGTGCCGTCCTGGCGGCCTGCGTGGGCCTCCATGCCAGGTCGCTGTGTCATCTCGCGCAAGACCCGTTTTTGATCGTCGCTCCAGTGGAAGCCCCTCTCCCCCCCTCCTCTCCCGGGCTGCGGGCCGCTCGGCCAGAAAGGCATGGGCGGGGCACGGGCGCGGGGTGGTGAAGCCTCGGGGGCCCCGCCGGGGGCCACCTCGGGGCCACTTCGGGGTGGGGCACCTGAGAGGCCGCCCTGGTGGGCCCTCGGAGGCCGGGAGGGAGCGAGGGAAGGGTCAGGACGAGGAGGAACAGGAGAACGAGGCTACGGTGGTGCGGAGGAGGAGGAGGAGGAAGAGGAGGAAAAGGAGGAGAAGGATGAGAAGGAGGAGAAGGAGGTGGAGGAGGGAGAGAGAGCAGAAAGGAGACAGGAGAAGGGAAGATGAGGAGGAGGTGGAGGATGAGGAAGCAGGAGGTGAAGGATGGGGAGGAGGAGGACGAGGAGAGGAAGGAGAAGGAGCAGGCGGAGGAGGAGGAAGAGGGGGTGGAGGAGGTGGAGGACATGGAGCCAGAGGAAATGGAGGATGATGAGGGGGAGGAGGAGGCGGAGGAACGGCATCAGGTGGTATCTGGGAGTTCCTGGAGATCACGTCCCTTTGGGATGCATACGGGGGAGTCCAGAGGCGCAAACTCATTGGGATCCTCTATCATCGATTCTTATCCACTTGATCCCTCCAGGGTGGATGGGCGGTAGCGGAGGAGGGGGAGAATTATAGTAATCATACAGGAGGAGGTGGATGGGGACACGGAGCAGGAGCGGGAGGGAGGAGGGGGAATTTGACGAGGAATAAGTGGTAGGAGTAGGAGGTGGAGAAGGAAAAGGAGGAGAAAGGAAGAGGAGGATGAGGAGGAAATGGAGGAGGAGGGTGGAAGAGGAAGGAGGAGAAGGTACAGTGGGAGGAGGAAGGGTGAGGGAGGAAAGGAGGGGGAGCACAAGGAGCAGCAGCAGCAGCAGCAGTGGCAGCAGCAGCAGCAGCAGCAGCAGGATGAAGAGGATGATGATGAGGACGAGAGAGGAGAAGAGAGGAAAGGGATGAGAAGGGAGGAGGAGGGAGGAGGAGGGCGACGACGATGATGCCTCCATTCGATTCCCACCTCCACGGCCCTACGCTCTGCCTGCGTTCCCGTATTCCCTCTCCTTCGTATGTCCCCCTCCTCCGAACTCACCTCCTCCTCAATACAATTCTCCTCCTCGTCCTTGTCCTCTTACTCCTTCTCGTTCTCCTCGCCCCTCCCCCTCACGTTCGCCCTCCTGATCACTCGTCCTCCTTCTCGTCTGCCTCCTCGCCCTCGTTGCCGCCCCCCGCGGAAGAGGGATGATGATGATGCTGATGATGCTGTTGATGCTGCTGCTGATGATGATCATCATGATGGTGGTGGTGGTGATGATGATGGTGGCGGTGATGATGATGGTGGTTATGAGAGGAGGATTAGGATGACGACGGCGAAGATGATGGTGATGCGATCGACGGTCATGTTGATGCCGGTCGTAATGATGATGCAGATGTTGATGCGGATGTTGTGTATTATGTTGATGATGGTGATGCTGATTCTTATTGTGGTGGTGATGGCGATGCGGATGAGGATGCGGATACTGGAAAAGGGGAGAAGGATGATGAGGAGGCATGGCGACGACGATGATGATGATATTGATGCAGGCGATGATGCTGATGATGATGACGACGTTACGACGACGGCCACGGTGACGATGCGGTTGATGATGTTGGTGATATTGCTGTTGCTGGCGATGATGTTCATGATGACGACGATGATTGTGACCATGGTGATGCTGATGATACCGATGACCATTATGATGATGATCCTGATGGTGATGCTTATCATGTTGAACCTGATGATGCTGATGGTCAGCATGGTGCTGATAGTTGTGCTGCTGACAATGATGGACATGGTGATCGCGACGGTGATACTGATGACGTCGACGGTGATGCTGATGGTCTTGGTGCTGATGTGATGGTGATGATGCATATGCTAATGAGGATGATGATGCTGGGGTTGCTGATATCGCTGACGATGATGATGCTGTTGATGATGATGATGATGATGATGATGATGATGCTGATGCTGATGCTGATGCTGATGCTGTTGCTAATGCTGTTGCTGCTGGTGATTGTGATGATCATGGTCATGCTGCTGATGATGGTGGCGACGATGCTGAACACGATGATTCTGATGACGAGGAGGGGGCCTGTCCAGGATGAGGAGGAGTAGGAGGATGGAGGAAGAGAGTTCGAGAGACACGGAGAAGGACGAGGACACGGAGGAGGAGGACGAGCAGAAGGATGAGGAGGACGAGGACGAGGAGGAGGAGGAGGAGGAGGAGGAAAGGGAGGAGGAGGGAGTAGGGGGAAGGACGAGTTGGAGGAGGACCAGCAGGAGAAGGAGGAAGATGAGGAGGAGGAGGGAGTAGGAGGAAGGAGGAGTTTGAGGAGAATCAGGATGAGGAGGAGGAAGAGGAGGGGGAGGAGGAGGAGGAGGAGGAGGAGGAGGAGGAGAAGGGAGGAGGACGGGGGAGGAGGAGGAGGAGGAGGAGGAGGAGGAGGAGGAGGAGGAGGAGCAGCAGGAGGAGGAGGAGGACGAGGGAGGGAGTAGGATGACCCATGTAATCCCAAGGCTCATCAACGCTGTTGGCAACTACCCTCCCTCCAAGCTCCCTGTTTTTCAACAAGCCCCTACAAGGGTTCTTCCCAATGAGGGAAGCGCCCCGTTCTCATAACTTCAGCGCCATGCGTCAACTTGACTTTTGCGCCTTGACGGTCCTGAACTTTACCAGAACACCAGTCATGGGACTTCAGCACCAGGAATGAACGTACATCTTGCGCCCTGACAGTCCTGCTGCTCCAAAACACCAATTCAGGTACGTTAGCCGTGATAACTGGTGAAGCTCTTGCATTTATGTGAAACGAATGTGCGCGGCGCTACGACGAGAGCCACATTTTTACAACGCACCGCCCTCACTCCGTCAAACTCTTGCAACTTTGTTGAACGAATGTGCGCGGCGCTAAGGCGAGAGCCACAGTTCGCCCTCACTCCGTTCAGCTCCTGCGAATGCTTGAAACGGATGTGCACGGCGCCAAGGCAAGCGCCACTGTTTGAAAACCACCTGCCTGTCATATGTTAAGTTGTTGCCAGCTTGTTCAGCTCGAGGCTCATAACTGGTAAGCACAGGCGAATCGCCCCGCCCGCCCTTCCGATTGGCCTCGGGCCCTCGGGGTACGACAGGGGGAGTTAGTTATAAGGGCAAGGAACGGAGGAGGACAAGAAGTAGGAGGAGGGAGGAGGAGGGCGGAGAACGACGAGCAGGATGAGGAAGAGGAGGAGGACGAGGAGGAGTAGGAGGAGGAGGAGGAGGAGGAGGCGGAGGAGGAGGAGGATTAGGGAGGAGGAAGAGGAGGCCAGAGGAGATTGGACGAGCGATGAGGACGAGGAGGGCGCGGAGGAAGAGTCCCCTCCTCCCCCCCGCGGAGGCGCCCCCGCAGCTCGGCGACACGCAGCAGACCGCGGAGGCGCCCCCGCAGCTTGGCGACACGCGGCAGGCGCTGTTTGCGCACAGGCCGCGCCGCCGCCGCGCCGCGCTGCGATTCATGCAGGACGCACGCTTCAGCAACCCGCCTGCTCGACCTGGCCGCCTGGGCCCGCCTTCCCGACCCGCCTGTTAGGGTCTACCCACCCGATCTGCCCGACTGGTTATGCCACGTGTTTTCTGCTCCTAGCCCCCCTCCTGCTACTCTCTCTCTCTCTCTCTTTCACTCGTGCTCCATCCTCCTCCCCCCCCCCCCTTGTCCCTTCCTTCCATCCGTCCTCTCTTCCCCTGCCTTCGGGGCTGCACGAAATACACGTTTCAGGTAAGAAAGATATGCCCTCAAGGAGGTACGATCCAAGACGAAGAGGGCAGGTCTCTAGGGTGTGGGATCTACGTGTTGAATGGCACGCGAACAGACACGAGCGAATATTCTTGAACTGATTGCTGTTTGTGTTGAGCTTTCTTCCTGAATCATGTCCGCCAGCGTGAATCCCACACAGCAAAGTGTTGCAACATATGCGGTACAACGTTGGTGATGCAATCAATGTGGTGACATCTAGGCTGTGCAATAGTTGTCGTGCAACCTATGTGGTGCGAAAACAACCCAAGGTGACGCAAAGCAATGCGAACCAATGCAAACCAATGCAAAGCAATGCAAAGCAAAGCGGAGCAACGAACAGCAACGCAAAGCCATGCAAGCAATGCAGGGCCATGCGAAGTAAGGTACTGCGATGAACAGCAATGCAACACAATGTAAGGTGTAAAGTAGTGCAGGTAAAAGCAACGCAATGCAGAGCAGGGTCAACCAGCGCAGCGCCCCCAATGCATCCTTGAAGCCGCTGCAAATGTTTAAGACGAGTGCGCGCGGCACTACAGATAAAGTCGCATTTTGAAAAACCGCATACCATCCCACCTTGAAGGTGCTGCAAGCTTTGCAGACGAATGCGCGCGAGGCTGAGGCGAGAGCCACACTTGGAAATCGGACCGTCCTCCATCTGTGGAACTGCTGCAAATTTTGAAGGCGAAAGCGCGGGGCGCTGAGGCGAGATCCACATTTTCAAGATGGCCCGCCTCCATCCGTTAAGCTGTTGCAGACTTCAAGTTCCAGGATCATACGCGGTGAGGAAGTGTCGGCGAAACGCCCAGCCCGTCCTACCAGCTCGTCTGGGTGTGCGAAGAGTTGCTTATCAGGGAAGGGGACGGAGGAGGAGGAGGAGGAGGAGGAGGAGGAGGAGGAGGAGGAGGATACTGTCAGGAACCTTGGCTTAGCGTGTCGCTCCGGCGGTTCTGGCCCACCACGCTTCAGTGCGGCAGGCTATCCGCTTCCCGGCCTCCCATCGTCAACGTCCCGACCTTTCCCGAGCCTCCCGCCTCGCGGAGCGGAGCGAGGCGCTACCCGCTCGCATGGCACAGCGTGTCGCCGGGGCCGTCACGGCCACGCGAGACGCAGAAGTTCCCGACCGTAGACAACCACGGGGCGGGGGGCGCCCGACGGCCGCCTCCCACGGTCGGGATAACGCTCCAGGGTGGGGAGGAGGAGGAGGAGGAGGAGGAGCAGGAGGAGGAGGAGGAGGAGGGCGAGGAGGTGGAGGAGGTGGAGGAGGAGCGAGGAGGAGGAGGAGGAGCAGGAGGAGGTGGAGGAGGAGGAGGAGGAGGAGCGAGGAGGAGACCGCTGCCATCTGTCACCACGCCGTCTCCCCTGGGCCGTTGCCTCCCCCCCCCCCCTGCCCGGCGGCAGGCCCTCCGTCGGCTCGTGGCTGGCGCCGGCCTCCCCCTGCCAGGCGCCGGGGGGGCCCGTGCCTCTGGGCGCCCGTGGTGTGCGGAGCCGCTCGGGGGGCAGAGTCAAGACGCTGCAGCAGGAACTTCGGGCTCCAGGAGGCGAGGAAGAAACAGCTGCACAAGCACAAGCTTTCGACTCTCCGCGCGGATTTCTCCGATCCGCGCGGGGCCCCCCCGGCGGCGCCTCTGGCGCCGCCCCTGGCGCGCTCCGCGCGCCAGGGA